GTGCAGGGGGTTGAGGAGCGAAGGGAGGTGACAAAGGAGACCCTGCAAGTTGGAGGCAGCTCTTCAAGGAGAGGCTGAAAATATGGGAGGAGGGAGGGAGGGCAGAGAGGTTGAGAGACAGAGAGTGCGTTCTTCTCTGGAATAACACAGAGGGAAGGCAGGCTATTGCTGGGTTTTGTTGAGTTGTCATGGGGGAAATTTGGATAGGCTTCAGGGCTGGTTGGATGGAACCAGTAAAGGCTTGCTGGAGATCCCCTGAAGCCCTTCCTCTGGAGCATGGGAGGCAGTTCCCTGAAGGTGGTCACGGGCCTGGGCGTGAAGGTTTGCTTCCTGGCAGAGAGCCCTGCTGCCCCTAGAGGGGGCAGAGGAAGGGGATCAGGGCTCACGGAGACATTGTGGGCCAGGAAGCACTGCACACTTTCCTTACACCATCTCGACCCCACCCCATGGTCATGTGACTCCCATCAGCTCATTCATTCGTTCAACAGACGCCACGTCAACATTGACTGGGGAGACATGGTGCTAGCTGGGGTGGTGGGGAGGGAGCAGGCAAGCTACGGACCCCTCCAGTCACGCAAGAAAACCACTTTCTCCACCAGGTGCTTTACCTCTTGAGCATCTGTCCATTTCTTTGCCTATGAAACAGGGAAGCTACTGCTCTCTAAAGATCGTGAGCACTGAGATACCTTAGCAGACCCTGTTCATGTACCACCTCTGCCGCTCACGCACCAGGAGGAAGCTGCAGAAAGTCCCTACAAGCACCTGGCTCCTGCATCTCTCGGCCTCAGGGCCCCCTGGCTGCCAGGCACTGAGCCCACCCCTGGGAGGCCACAAGTGTGGGGAGTTGGTGCCCTGGAGCAAGCCTCAGCCCCCTAGGGCACTTACTGTAGGCTAAGCCCCTTCGAAGCCAGGTGAATCCCTGTACTCATAAAGTTATTCTCTGTGTTCCTGGTTCTACGCTCTAGTTTCCATTCCACTGTTCCAAATTGTACGCTCCAACGTGGGGCTCTATGTTCAACAGAATTGGCTTCCAGCCCAAATTCGATATTCCTTGTTGCAAGCACCCCCATCACCTCCCTCCTCGCCTCCTTCCAGGAGCCCTTGTGGTCAGCCAGGCCAGAGGCGAAGTCCCCCCAACGTCCGGGTGGAGGAGCTGATGCAGGCTCACTTGCCCCTGAAGCTGGCCGGTATGGCCTCCCACCTGGCCCAGTATGCCCACCTGGCCGCTGAGCTGACTGCTGCCATCCGGGACCCAGTTAAGGCTGTCAGCCCGCCCCGTTACAAGCAAGTGTGCTCCGTCAGCATGGGGAGCCAGGGGCAGGATGATGCAGTGGCCTCCAGCCAGAGCCTGTGGGATCCACGTGCAGACAGCTTTGCTACCTCCCACTCTGTGAACCCCACGCTCTTCTGTGTGGCCCTGGTCCACGCCATCTACTTAGAGTGAGCCCTGTGGCATGAGGGTTCCGGCCCCATGGGGGCCCTGTGCTAAATACTGGCTAGTCGGTGACCTGCGCAAACAGCACCCCCCGGGCGAGGCCCGCGGCTCCCACAACTCACGGTCCATGCGAATGAGAAAATGAATGCGACACATCTGCACTGCCCCTCCTCAGGCCACGCAGACCACACCAGCTGCTGCGCTCGTCTGCCTCTGGCTGGAGTTACGTCCACCACGTGCAGCCCCCAGCTGGCTGTACAGATCAGAAACTCTCAGGGGCAGCTATCTGGGTCTTTGATTAATAAAAAATGGGAGATAAATGAATAACGACTTAATACATGCAATTTGGGATCAAAATCTTCCAAAGCATGGGGAAAATAGTAAAAAGGGAGGGTTCTGGAGAGTGGAAAGTTTGCGAACGAGTGCTCTTCTCAGAGGCCAGCCATGAGCCAGGCACTTGCTGGGGCCACCAGGGAGACAAGAGAAAGGAGGGGGCTGGGCTCTCACACCCGCTCTGTGAGAGGTGTGTGCTCGAGCACCACACGCGTTCCCTTCAGCCTCACATAACCCTGGGAGATGGCGCAACTGTCCCCGCTTTGTGGATGAGTAAACTGAGGCTCAGAGAGGCCAAGTTACTTGCTCTGGATACTTACACAACTGGCAAGAGATTTGAATCTAGGCCTGCCTCACTTGAAAAGGAAAACAAATAAACAAAAGAGTCCCAAACTGTGGTATATAGAAAGTCACTCCGGTCTGTGTTTACGAAGGAAAGCAGAGGGACAAGCAGAGGGAACAGCATGTAAGCTGAGTGCCAAGGTTGCGTCTCCTACTTACTGTGGTACCCGAACCAGGGCACACAGTAGGCACTCACGACAGTTTCAAATGGAAGCTGGACAAGCCTGGAGACATAAAGGGGCATAGCCTATCCTGAGGGGGTGGGGATGACTGTGTTTAAGCCTCTGGTTTCTGAAGCAGCGTGACCAGGTGCACTTCATCTTCTTTTTTAAATCTTTCATTATGGAACGATTTCAAATACAGAAAAAGCAGACATCAGTGACCCCATCACCCAGAGTCACCCGATGTTCATATCTGGCCATATTCATTGCAAATGTTTTTATATTGAAGCGATGCAGATAAAAAAAGACTGCTCACCCCACGCCATCCCCAGAGGTCACTATCACCCTTGCAGTTGGTGTATCCCCTTCCTGAGCATTTGGCATTATTTTGTGTTTTTAGACTTTCAAAATATTGGTATCTCACTGTACATTGCCTTCTACAATTTGATTTTCACTCAATTATGTTTTAATTGAGTCTACGTTGATACATGTAGATCTAGTTGGTTCATTTTAACTGCTATGCGTTATTTTACTGGATGAATATAGAACAATTTATTTCTCTCTTCTCTTATTGATGGACATATGGGCAGTTTTTATTTGCTATTTCAAATGGTGCAGCAAAGAAAATCTTTATACGCGTCTCCTGGTGCACTAACGTGTCACATATAACCTTTATAACAACTGCAGCATGTTGGAATTTGTGCATCCCAACGTCACCTTGTACAATTGCCTAATGTCTTGGAAGCTTGGTTTTCCTCATCAGTGGATTGGGGTAATAAAATAGCGTGCATCTTGGGGACAATATGGCGCTTCAACATAGAGAAGATGCATTTTGCAACCTCTGAAGTACTCCATGTATATTCCCTGTTTATTATGCGGGTATTCAACATTCAGGATGTGCTGAGCACACTCCCACACTGGGGACACAATGCACAGGCCCCAGGACAGCCCCATGATGTGCTCACCTGCGCATTAGGCAGTCAGAGCCGCCGCCTCAGCAGGATGCACAAGAACCTGCTGGCCGACCTGGCCTGCAGTGGTGGAGGCAGGCGTGGCTTCAGAGGGGAAGGGATAGTGAGCTGAGTAAGTCCTCAGGGGACGAGGAGCCCAAGGCGAGTGGAAGAGGGGAGGGCGGGAGGGTGGCCCAGACCCAGACCCAGAGGGCAGCAAATGGGAAGGGCCGTACTGACACGTGAGCAAGAGCGTTGGGGCAAAACCTGAGAGCTGGACGCAAGGGGCCAAGGATAGAAAGTAGGTCTGGAGAGGCAGGCAGGGTTGTGACGCTGTATCCTAGGGCAACAGGGAGCCACTGAAGGATTTTCAGCAAGGGAGTGACAGGCTCAGATCTGCAGGAGATCTGCTGTTCAACACTGTACCTCCAGTCGACAATAATGTACTGTGCACAAACTCTGTTAGGAGGGTAGCTCTCATGTTAAGTGTTCTTTTTTTAAGTGTGATGAGGTTTAATTTTTTTCTAGAGAATGGAGAGGGGTTGTGGGAGCCTAGGTGAAATGCTCTTAAACTGTCCTGGAAAAGTCAGGGAAGGCTTCCTGGAGGAAGAGGCATCTAGGCTGGGACTTGAAGGATGAATAGGAGTTGGACCACGCACAGGCTCCAAAGGCCTTCCAGAAAGTGGTCGCTTTTCTGTTCAGAGAGTTGCTGCTATTCTTTTCTTCGATCTCCTGTTGAGTTCATAGGCGTTCAGAATGGTTTGATCCCTATCTAGCTGAATTCCTGGAACCAGACAAAATTTAGGTCTCCTACTCCTCTGCCATCTTGCTCCTCCTCTCTCTCATGTTAAGTGTTCTTATCAGAGTTGCAAAACCAGGTCTGGTGGCAGTATGGAGGGCGTGAGGGGAGAGGCTGGGAGACCATCGAGGGGAACATAGAAGTGCTGCAGGCAAAACACTGAGGGGGCCAAACTCAGGCAGGCGTCCTTTGGCTGCCATCACCCTGACGGCATGCCCCCCCACCCATGCCATGCAGTGGGTGTGGCTTCATCAGGAGGGATGGGCAGAACTGGCTAGCCGACAGAGGCTTGCCTCCAATTCAGACAGTCCATCCTCACACACCCCAACCGGTCCCCTTCTAAGGCTAACTTACCATCTTGCAAGGCAGGAGCTTTCCAGTCTCTGGACGATGTGAGCCTTTTGGCATACTGGTATCAAGGGCATGGCTGGGTCTTCACCATTGTCCCATGATAAGAGACCCCACTGTATCCAGACTGTATGGATGCCCTGTGAGGTGAGGGGAAGGGGAGGGTGACACATTCTAGGACAAGAGGGGCTGATGGTTATCACGGAGTGGCTGTGTCTAATGTCTAAACACCCAACATACAAAATGGGACAAAGACACAAAAGAACCGCCCCAGACCCTCATTTCTTACGTGGGGACTCCCTACCACCCCTAAGTCTGAGTGTGAAACCTCTGGCACTGTCCCCCAGATGCCCACCAGGGTTACTTCCTGGACATGGCCCAGCTTGGAGATGTGCCTGCAACTTTTTGGGCCCTGCGTGCAGGAAAACCCTCTCACAAATGGAGGTGACTGCAAACCCTGATATATCAATGGGATGAACACAGAACTGCTCTGGTTGCAGGGAGCCTGGAGACCCCGTGTGGCTGTCCCCTCATTGCTGCCTTGCCCGGAACCCTAGTGTCCTACAGAGCCCGGTGTGAAAATCACCGGTTACCCAACTCTCCATACAGGCGCCACCAGGGGACCTGGCTTCTCATGCCAGCTCTGCGGCAAACTGTTTGACCTTGGGCACGTCTCTTCGCCTCACGGGGCCTTGCTTTCCCCGTTCGCACAATGAGTCTAATAGACGGGATGCTTTCTGGAGTCCTGAACTTTAATTTCTGGTGTGAGGAGGGCTGTGATTTCACGACCATAAAGTTCTGATTCCACGGTCCTCTGATTCTGAGATTTCGTGGCTTAGTATTCCCGCCTGCTGCCAGCCCCAGCTGAGGCAGCACGGTGGAGGCCAGGTGGTGGAAAGCAGGATTCATTACAGAGCGCCGGGTCCAAGGGGAGGGCTTGCCCCACGCAGGATGGAGGGGCGCGGTGGGGAGGGCAGTGGGGGTGGAGTGGAACCAGCAGCGGCTCAGTGGGCAGAGCAGGGAGAGGGACCCAGGTCTCCTGACTCCTGCTCTATCTTTAGATCTCCATAGCAACCGTCACCAGGGCTCTGGAGCTGAAGGCGGGCTGAGCTGGCTGCCTAGAGGAGCAAGGGGCGCTTGTTTCTGTACCTCTTTTGCTCAGGAAAGGACTCTGGGCTGGGCTCTTGAGCCAGGGAAGGGAGACTGAGAGAGAAGCTGTTTGCAGCAGGAAAGGCCTGGGACCCAGTACAAAATAAAGGTAGTCCAGGGCCCACCTTGCCCGGAGAATGTGATCAGGTCGCAGAACCCGAGACCGCTGTGTCAGGCTTGAGGCACAGGAGGTACATAAGGCAAGTTCCTCCTCCAAAGAGCTCTTAGCTACCCCTATGGTCATTCCCTAAACACTGCAAGCAATGCAGCTGAGCCAGCCCTGAGGCCACAGCAGGGACACGCAGCTTCCAGGGAAAGGTTTTAGAACAGGCATTTCTAGGGCAGGGTGGGATGGGAGTCCCAAAGCCCTCCAATCTGAGGCACCTGGGAAGCTCCTCCTGCACCTCCTCCAGCGGGCTTCTACTCATCCTGGGGCTTGGCATGGACCAGGCTTTCTCCCCGGAGTCCTCCCGGACTCCCACGCCCCCTCCCTGGGGCTCCTGCAGCCCCATCTTCCCTCCACACAGCAAGATGTCTGCCTGAGGGAGGTGGCAACCTCGTGAGGTAGGGGAGAACTGCAGGTGCACAGAGGTAAAGACATTCACCTAAGGTCACCCGGCCAGTGAGCGGTGGGGCCAGGCCTGCACTCCATGTCTTCTGACTCCAGTCTGTGCTTCTTCCAGTGTTCCAGTGGCAGGACCCGGGCCTGGGCTTTGGAAGGGAGGCCAGGGCTAGAAGAGGAAGTAGGAGTCCTTGGCCAGGCCTGCGCATAGCAGGCACCTGGCCATGTCCTTGGTAAACTCGGCTGAGCCACAGACCAATGCAAATGGCTTTCTGCGACAGGAGCCAACCAGCTCTTCAATCAGGCCCTGGGCCAAGCGGCCAAAGCGGGTCTTCTCCCGGTAACTCCAGGGAAGCTTCTCCAGGGAGGTCTCCTGAGACAATGAGAAATCATGCGGGTGACTACTGGGAAGTCTTCAGAGCTCACGCAGATCACTGTCGAACGAGGAAACTGAGGCAGAGGGGTGGGAAGGCAACCTTCAGCTAGCCCTACCACAGGCCAGGGACTTCTTGGCACCGGGGCTCTGATTACCCTCATAACAAGCCCAGGGGCGGGGGGATGTGTATCCTCCCACAACAGGGGAGGCACAGCGAGGAGGGGGCGCATCCCAGGGCGCGCAGGGAGGCAGGCCCCACCAATCCTCGCTGCCTCTCGGGGGCCACTGCCCCTGTCTCTCCAGGGAGATGTTTTCTCCCCAAGACTGGGGGGGTCTCCCAGCACCTTTGTAAGGCTGCCCGCCACCATCACCCTGGGAGCGTAACACGTGTTCATGCCCTTACTGACGGAACAAGTACTGACTGAGGGCCACTCTGTGCCCGGCACGGTGCTAGGCACTGGCATGTGGCGGCTGCTCGAATCAGAAAAGCCTCCTGGTCCCGCTCCGGCTGCGTGTGTCAGGGACCCGAGGCAGCAGTGCCTTAACCAAGGGGGCCGCGCTATTTCTCACATAAAAAGGCTGGAGGTAGGATTCCAGGGTGCACGGTGCCCGAGTGACCCAGGCGTCTCTCTTTCTGCTCTTCTAGCCTTCGCTGGTGGCTTTCATCTTCGGGATTACGAAAGAAAAGCTCCACCTCCAGCTTACTTGGCGGAACGTCTCTTTTTTAAGTGAACATTCCACTGAAGTACAATATGTATAGAAACAGCACACAAATCAGTAAGTATATGTAGTCTGGAGATTTCTAACGGAGACAAGACACCATGCAACCAGCATCTAAACAAACAAAAACAGAACAGGACCATCCCCTCTGCAGACCCTATGAAGGTGAGCTTTTAGCTTCTGGGGCTAAGCAGAGAGATGCGAAGGAGAGAGGGGGCTGGAGTCTAAACTCTGCCACCATGTCCCAGGTGAGTGGCCCTGACTTCTGTGAGCCACTGTGACAGGTGTAGGCCTCCCCTCGGGCACACTCACAGCGCCTCGGAGGCCCGCGCCGCAGAGCTCATCTGACGCCAGGGGCCCTCTAAAGACACCATTACAGTGCTCACAGGGGGTCCGCTCTGATGATCTGGATCTTCCCACGCCTCCTCCATGCTCTGACCCACCCAAAGGGTCCTTGCGGGCCAGCGGCCTCCCCTCCCAGTTCCCACAGGCTAGTTCGGGTTGGCATAGCCCCCCTCCCCCAACTGCACACCCAGAGATGCGGTGGGTCTGGTTGCTGCCCAGGTGGGGTGGGGGACCCCTAATCAGGGATGGCGCCGCAGGGTAGATGCTGTCAAGGAGGAGAGTCCCGGCTACGACAGCAGAAACACCTATGCCAGTCTGGGGGCTCTGGAGAAGTTGCCGGGATAGAGTCCCACCCCAGCAGAGAGATGTGAGGGGTGGGTAGGTGTTCGGTGAGCAAGTGGGGAAAAGTGCTCCTGAAAGGGGGAACAGCACCAGCACACGCAGGCCTGGCAGCCAGAAGAGCACGGTGCCCTTCTTCCAGTGGTGCCGGGACACGCCGGGAGGGGGGGCCAGGAGACGAGCCCACGTATGTTGGTGCAGCCGTGCGGGCTGGGCCGTCATCCTGAGAGCGGTGTGGAGCCAGGGAAGGGCTGGAAGCAGGGTGGTAGGGGGGTCAGTGTTGCCCTTTTGGCTGCAAGATGAAGGGCCAACTGGCAGGGAGTGGCTGGAGGGGGAGATCTGTGGGGCCGCTGTGGCTGCAGCCCGGGCAGGCCAGGGAGCATCCTAGGTCAAGGAGGCACATGGCCAGTCCATGGCCCCTCACCTGCCCCTGCCTTTGACAGCCAGCCCACTCACCTGCCCAGTCCCAGGCCACTGGCATCATCAAAGCCCTGAGCCAGGGCTGAGGGCCCTTTATTGCTGGTCAGCTTTAACTCTGCCCTCAAGCCCAGGCTCAATGCCAGCTCCTCTGTGAAGCCCTCCCTGCTTGCCGCCGGCATCCTCAGCACCCTCCGTGTATCACCTCTCCCTGTGCTGTCTTATACCAACAGGCAGTGAAAGCAGGGCGTCTGGAGCAGGACCACCGGGGTTCACACCTAACTCTCCACCAACTTAGTCAAGGTTCTTAATCTCTCTGTGCCATCTCTATAAAACGGGCATGATGGCAGGACAAGCCGCCTAAGACTGTGGTGGGATTAAATGATTTAGCACACAGAGTGCCTAGAACAGTGCCAGGCACGGAGAAAGTGTTCAGTGAAGCCAGCCCTGTGGCTGTCTCCCCACAGAAAGGCGAGTGCCTGGAGGGCAGGGGGCAGGTCCTCTTCATTTCCCTATCCCGGGCACCTGGCATGCGGTCGGGGAACAGGAAGGCTGGTCAACGGCTGGGTGATTCTGCCACTCTTCCCACCTTCCTTGAGCTGGCCCTCGAGCGGAGCTGACAGGGCCGCCCCGGGCACACAAGAGTTGGGCTGCACACTAGCCTTTGCCTCGTACCCCGGCCTTCGGCACTTCCTGCTGCTGCAGATGCTCACCTAGCATGGCCCTCCTCATGGTCACGCCACTGAGCCTCCTGTCCCATCAGAGGCCCACAGAACCTGGTCACTGAGGGTCCCAGACCCCTGGTACTGGGGAGGGAAACCCAGTTTCCTGACACCCCCCACCCAGTCATGATAGGGAAGATCACACCAGTCTTTAGGGACACTCTAAAGCTGCCTCAAGTAGGAAACTGATGAGAAGGGTGCTCCAAAGTACTGGGCAGTGAGGCCGACCCTGAGCAACACAGACCGGAGGGGAGGCCCCAGCAGGGAGCCCAGCCCTGGGGGCGCACGGAAGAGAAATAAAGCTGCAGACCAAGGGGAAGGCAGCTCAGGGCCTGGCTTGGCACAAGGAACGAGATGGGCCCTGACTGTGGAAGAGGGGAGGGAGCGGGCAGGGTGGCCGGAGTGCATGCAGGGAGGAGGAGCCCGAGGGGCAGGGTTGCTTCTAGTTCAAGTACCTGCAGCCTGGAGAGTCTGGAAGCAGCTTTCCTCCCATGCAGGGACAAAGTGCTGGGGGAGGGGCCCGGATAAATGCGGTGACCCCAGATCCGCTTGCTCACCAATCACTGATGGCGCGTGTGTCTACTCCGTGCCTGGCACCCTGCCAAGCACCGAGGAGTGCTTGGTGATCCAGACACATGATCCCTGCCCCGAAGGAGCTTATCCCGGCCTTGGGGACATCTGCGGCCTGGCCCACTGACTCCACACGCAGGCCCCCAGCCTGTATACCTGGTGAGGCCAGGGGGGAACTGGCAGGCAGTAAAGCATGGTGGGGAGCTCCAATCCTGGCTTCACCCCAGCCAGCAGCACGGACAGGCCAGCACCTTTACCTCTCGAGTGTCAGTTCCTGCATCCACACACACCAAACGGAACCGGACCTGCCTTCCTTGCGGGCACAGGGTGGCAGTTCCCACTGGCAGCAGGGATTCCTACTGTGGCCCCTGGGGCAGGGAGGCCACAGCAGATCCTCAGGACGGGTGCAAGGGGCCGGCATAGTCTTAACCAGGGAAGGAAGTCAGCACGCTGGGCTCACCTGGCTGAGGACAAAGAAGGTTCGGACGTTCCAGAAACGGGCCTGCTCCTGGAGGAAGGTCTTCAGGTAGATGCCCTCAAAGGTCTTAAAGCAGCCGACCAGGGTGACAAAGGTCTCGTCCTCTGCATTGTCTGTTATGCTCTGCAGGATGGGCACCATGGGGGCCAGGCCAGTGCCTGAAGCCAGCATGAGGAGCTCACCATACTGGGGAACAGAACGGGGAGATGGCAGGTCTCAGCCCACCCACAGCACAGCCCTTCCTGGGGGTCCCACCCGTCTGAGGTCCCCTCTCTACGTCCTCTTGTGAAAGTCTACAGCTTGTGAGGTCTGTGTCACAGAAATCATGGAATCTGGAGGCTGAACAGGAACATAAAATGCTGTAGCCCATCCTACAAGTGGCTCAGTTGCTCTCCTGTCCATTGCCACAGGACTTTGCTAACACACTTCTCTTGACAGGGAGCCCACTACCTCCCAAAGCAGTTTGCTCTATTATAGGCTGACCCCCCTTGCCAGAGAGGTCTTCCACCTCACGCTGAAACCTGCTCCCGCCAAAGCCTAGTCCACCACCCCTATCCCAGCTCTGTCCTCTGGGCTGCCTTCTCTGCCCCAGGGCAGCCCTGTAGAGATCTGAGGGCCCTGGCATGGATCCCTGAGCCTGCTCTTCTCCAGACTGAGATACTTACTATACATAAGTGCCCAACACAGTGCTGGCACAGAAGAACCATGCAATGAAAGTGAATTTCTTCCCCAAGAGGCTCCAATTCCATCAACCCATCACTGAATCCACGAAGCCATCTCCTGGCTCTAGGTCTCTTTAAGAGGCGTGATCTTCTTTAAGGTCAGTGCTTTAAAGGGTAGTGCCTGCCCTACGCAGCAAGGTAGTCACCTCCTTCATTCTAGAGATTAGGCCTCTGAGAATGCAGTCCAGGTTTCCACTAGCTTTATCGACAGCTAATGCGTGTCACACGCCTGCAGGAAATACTTCCTCAAGTATCAGTCATGCAGACCTGGGTCTAAATCTTCAGCCATATGATCTGCCCAAGTGCTTTCACTTCTCTGAGCCTTGGTTTCCTCACGGGTAAAAAAAATAACAGCCCCTCCCCCACAGTGGCATGTGCCTCAGAATTGTCGTGGGGATTAAACGAGATGCCATCAAGATGCCTGGTGCGAATCCTGGTGCTCCACACAGTTCGACTCCTTCCCTCACTGAGCCCTGCTGCTGGCTGCAACACCCTGTCCTGTGGTGCGTGTCCCCAGCCTCCTGGTCCCCAATGCGCGCGCTCCTCCTCTTTCTCCCACCACCACTTGCAGTCTCTTCTGGACAGTCTTCCCCGAGCCAATAGCATGTGAGGGGTCCTTCCTCTGCATCCCCACAGTCCTCTGTGCCCCCTCCTCACGACACCGGTCACGCCGTATTGCTACCATTTGTGTGGGCGTCTGTCCCCCATCACACGGTGAGCTTCTGGAGGACAGGGCCTTGTCCGCCCCATGTGTGGCCCCACATGGAGACCTGCGAATGTCTGGAAGGAACGCACAGATGCTCACATGCCAGCCTCACGGCAGCCACAAAATCCATCTACAATGAAGACGACTGCAGAGCAGCAAGACAGGGCCAGGGAGAGGGCCAGAGCAGCCCTGCGCAGAACCACGCCTCAGCCCGTCCCAGCAGCCAAATGTTTCTGTGTGAGATGCCATCTCTTCTCCCTCACTGCCTGGCCCTACAACCTCCCGGGATAGGAAATGCAGGGGCTCTGCAGGGGGGGGTTCTGTGGATGCAGGGAGGCCCCACCCAGAAGGGGCAGTCAAGACAATGTGCATCAGGTGTCCCCTCTAGGTCAGGGGGAAACAGGGACAATTCGGTCCCTGCTCTCAAGGGCCTGGGGGACACGGGGACACCCTCAGCTAAAATGCAAGCCTAAGCAAGGTTGACACTAGGAGCACGCTGCTGAAGAGTATTACAACCTACACACCCTACACGTCTGTAAAGCAGGGGTAGCAAACCCAAGAGCTGTGGTGAGGAGAAAATAAAATTTTAGCTTGGCAAGTGTGAACATCAGAGCCTGGCCCAGGTACGCAGCACCACACACGTGTCTCATAGTGTAACAATACTATGGTGGTGGGTGCGTGCATTGTTACACACATGTCCATGGGTGTGTACACGGGTTTCTCACCTGTGTGTGGAAGGGGAGCTGGAAAGTTCTCTGCCAAGGCAGTGAGACTGGTGTCACCAAAAGGTCCTCACCAGAAAGCTGTGTGTCCTGTGCCCCAGGACTTGACGTACCGGGACATCAGCCCAGTCGGGTAGGACTGGGAGCACTGGGTAGATGGCCTACACGTGTGCTTTCTTTTCTTCTTTTGCCTCTCTAAATCTGATTTTTTTTTTTTTGGTAATGTAAATGTACCGTATTTGTAATAAGGAAAAAACCAATAAAACTATTTTTATATTAAACAAAAATAATGGGGAGAAAGGAATGATTCATTCTTTTTCATTTGCTTTTCTTTTGCTTTGTTTCCTAATTATAAAAGTAATAGGTGCTCATTGTGGATGACTTGGAAGGTATAATGAAGAAAACAAAAATCACCCATAATTCTACCACCCAGAGCCACTGACATTGCATTGCATTTTCTTTGTTTTTTTTTTTTTTTAAAGATTTTATTTATTTGACAGAGAGAGAGATAGTGAGAGCAGGAACAAAAGCAGGGGGAGTGGGAGAGGGAGAAGGAGACTCCCTGCCGGGCAGGGAGCCCGATGTGGGACT